CTCTCTTATTTTTGCACTAAAAACACACACATATTACCGTCACTACACAAAAGATGACAACGTCTTGCAGCAGGAGACTCCTGCAGATACCGTGTCATGCTACAGCTGCAGCCACAGAGAGTCAAGCTCCTCCACACCGGAGACAGACAGGCAGAGCAGCTCTGTGACACTATCCTCAGTAGTCTTTGTGCGGCGGGCTGACCCAGACTCGCTTCCCACTTTAAATACATTTACAAAGTAATTTGCCTCAAAATGCTCACAAAAAAGTTAGTTTCCGGAGCCCTGACGTTCGAGACAGATAAGTGTCTTTATGACAATACACGCTTTTGACCACAGTGGCTGCCAAAATCAACAGAAGATAAAAACTCTGTTTAGCTGCTTTAACTCAGACTGACCCACCTAAAGAGAGAGGGTCCCCTAGAAGGAGGACACAGTCTTAGTTTCACCATGTTTTTAAAATTACAGTGGTTCATGTTTGTTATGTGCGGCCCTGTGCTGTCTTTGTCATTACGATACAACACTAACTTGGATTTAGATGCAGTATCAGGTGTAGTGGTTGTGATAACAAAACAACCCTCATGCATGAGAAAAAACAACTGTTGCATTACAAACACAAAACTTTGAATTATCAGCTCTTATTATTTCAGTCAAAACAAATCCTTGCACTCCAAGCACCATCTATTCAAAAATATATATCTCTTTGTTCAACTAATTGCAAGCAAATTATTGTGATCCTTTGCTGCTGCAAACCAATGAGCCATTTTCCGCGTCACGTTCTGGCTGCTCTCAGCCTCTTTTCTCGTGGCATTAAAGCGCTGTGTCATTGTTGGAGAGGATCTTTTCATTTGGGGATGTCCGGTGCCACGGCTAATCCCTTTGACCTGACCTGGCCCTGCTGGGAACCATCCTCCCCTCCTTCACTTCAGGCCACCGTGTTAATGATAAACCACTCTGTAAGTTCACACAATTTAAAAAAACACTCCCCTGAGAGTGAATCAAAAGTCTGCATAAAGCTATACAACAAGTACAGACCAGCACAGGATGAGCATTCCCCTAAGAGAACAGAAACAACGTGGTTTAAATGAATTTACTAATTATTGAAAAGGATTAAGAGGGACTTTAAGTGAAAGTGACAAACCAGAAAATTGTGTTTTTCTTTCCTCCTCTGAACTTCAGTAAAATCAAAAACACCAGAGATGATTTTCTACCACCACAAAGTGAGCAGCACCAGGAAAAAACTGAGTAAAGCTGCAACGTATACAGGCAAAGCTGAAGCTAACTTGATGCCAGGTGAGGCCAACTAAAATGAGGAGGCTGAGGGAGCAACGACCGAGGGGCTTCTGGAAGATTTTCAAGCTCCAGTGACAGACTTCCCCGACGTTATGTTGGTCACAATCCAAGGGTGAAAAATGGTTATTAAATCCAAATTTCCAACTCTGAAGAAGACTTGGCCAGTCTGTAGAGTTCTAGTCCCCTGAAGATCAGAAAGCAGACCTCGAGAAAGATCCATGTACTTTAAGTTGCTCACACAGAGAGCAGGTTTGTTGTTGTTGTTGTTGTGGAGGAAAGGGCCCACTGTGTTGACCAACAAGATTACAAAGTTAATGACTGAAACGTTTGAAGTGGCTGCATTAGGATCAATCAGAGAGCCAAAAGAGAAATCTTTAAAAAGGATCGATTACAGATATGTCTACAACAGTGCTGTCGAAGTTCATGTTTGACATGATTCACTGTGTAGCTCCTCCTGTTTTGCTCTTTGAGGTTATTTTGGAGAAATTTCTGGACAGTAGGGCTGCACGATTTTGGCCGAAAATAAAATCCCGATTTTTTCTCTGATGTTAGATTTTGATTTTGATTTAGATTTAGATTGTTAGCGAGTAAGTGGCGCTGTAATGCTGCACAGGAAATGCACAAAAGACAGAAGAAGAGTATGGAGCAGGAGTATAAAGGTTGTTTTAGCTGGACACGCGCTAGCGCCACAAAATAATTACACTGTCCGTCACATAATCGTTTCTAGAGAGATGCAGACAGGCATCCACACTGAGATGAAATGGTAGTGGTTTACGGATTTATGCACTCTCTGACCATTTACAGTCACCCGAAACACTATTTCTGTGTGGATGAAATGCCAACATGCGGACAGATTAACACCGCCTTCAGGCAAACTTTGCATCGGGGAGTGGTTTGCTCTTCGTCCAAAACTGCGAAGCTGTACCAACTCCACTCAACTGACTCACTCAACTGACTTGCTCTTGCCCTATTTAGCCACGAAATTATCGCCCATGTTTGTTTACACTGGTGTGTGTAGGAACTGGGGAGCGCTCTCGCAGGAAGGAGGAGCAATGATAGAGGAGAATTGATTTGACAATTTTAAATTTTTAACATCATCATAATCAAATAATCTGATTACGATTTAAAATCGATTAATCATGCAGCCCTACTGGATTTGTCAGTGTTTTGGATCATTGTAATAATAATTCTACTACACAGTATATACATGAAGCAAGCATGTTTGTCCACTCCCATTTTGATAAGAGTAATAAATACCTGAGTTATATCCCTGACAGAGAATAATCCTGTGACAGCCCTACTTTCTATCAGACCTGGAAGCAGAGGTGCCCAGCTCTCCCCTGCATGTGCTGCCACTAAGTTATGAAAGTAGAAAACTCAAAGGTGCCACCTACAGTGTATCTTCTATTTGGTGGCCCAAAGGTAGCTTTTTGTGTCTACACGCCTTTGGACCGTGGTTGAGGTTACATGCCTGTATCATGTGAAATATAAAGCTGAAAAGAAATAAGTGAGACCGAACATACAGATGTGACAATGTTTTTTACAGTCCACTGCAGCAGAAAAGCCCTCAGTGATTACCTGTTTGCTTTTTCTCAACCAATTTAAGTGTTTACTTTGAGTGGTGTGTGATAGTAAACTGATTAGAGTCTCAAAAAGGACTTCATTAAGAATCAAACACAACACGCTGGTGCTATGTGTGGATCCATGCCCGGGCAGGATCAATATCAACAAAAGGCCCAAGTACACAAACACGAAATTCATACGTGTCCTTTCAGCTGCACACCTAATCCATCAGTCGATGTGAATAGCACCGCTCATTTTGACTTTACCAAGCGATGGCAGAAAGACATCCGTGGAAGCTCAATCGATACGGTGACTGAAGTGGAATTCAGCAAGCACACTCCCCCACTGTTCGTCTTTAAGAGCAATAACACAGCTCAGGTTTATTCAAGTCCAGCAGGGGAAGAATTTTCACATTAGCTGCAGAAAGCTGGCTCTGTTTCGAAAAAGACGGAGGCCTCTTCTGTTGGCAGGAGCTATAGGAGAGCTGAGAGGTGGCTTGTGTGGTTATAGTGACACAGTGAGGGGAGAGAAGCGCTCTCAAAAAGGAAATATTACACTTTTGCCTGTTCACTCAACAGGGAGCCGAGCCAGGCTACCTTAAGGCCAGTGTTGTTTCCTCTTAGTGTACGACATGCAGCCTTCTACTTAATGTGAGACAACATGACAACAGTCAAGGCCTCTGTGAAGGAAAGAGACAAAGAGCTGGCAGGCTGGGGCTCTTAAGTCGAGGTGACATGCCATGATCAAAGGACAGACTCGCACAGGGTCGGAGGAGAGCCTCGAATAAAAAAATGTATTTCTTCAACAATAAGATTTATGTCATTTGCAATTTAAATGGCATCAGCAGTTGATACAAATCTGTGATCTCCCCAGGCTCCCAGATCCAAACAAATGCACCAGACTCAAAGTGTGAAATAACAGGCTGCAAAAACGCAGCACGCCAAAATATTTTCCCTCCTTCATTCTTCCCCTCCCCTTCACTTGCCCCCTTGTGCACCCGCAGCATGTCACTGAATGAAATGCAGCGTGCAATTACCCATTATCCAATCAAATGGAGTCGACACTTAACCATTTGCGCGGCTTTGCGCTCAATTATGTGTCAGGGCTCTCAGTGGGCTCTCAATAGCTGAACCGCGTTGCATAATCGTGTGGCTTCGAGATTCACGCCACGCCGCCAGAGACAGAAGAGGGCTGGAGGAGAGCCGGGGCCGCCGTCTGAGGGTCATTGTTGTCGTCTATGGCTGGCAGGGTGAAACGAGGTCTGGTCACTGACAGAAGCGGCGACTCGGGCTCCAGCACCCCGGGGCCTCGGCCATTAGAATACATAATGCAGGGCTAGTCATTTGGAAGGGCTCCAGATCGTGCTCTTCAAAACCCCTCTCAGATAATTCGCTACATGGCATCTTCATCACCCACCCCCTCTCACCCTCCTTACCAACTGATCCTGTCACACATGATTGGACCCACAACCCCAATACCTCCCCCCACCGCCTACCTTCCTTCAATTGTGGCCTTGACCTCGTGGTACTTGCCTCTTAACAAAACCAGCACCCCACCACCACCCAGCCCCATCAGTCCAGACCGGTCCACTCGGTCAGTCAGTCACTGGTGGCCGGTGGCTATTTGACCCCTGAGGGCCCGCAGTGCTGGGGCCCCAGCTGAGGAGCCGGGGCAGCTGCCAACTACCGACCACTTCAACTCGGGCTGTCCGGATGATTGCATCTGTCACGCCGCCACTCCGCGTCAGCCCGGCTCGGGTTTGATCACGGACAATTAGGGGTTAAAGAGAGGGAGGGGGTGTGCCAACACTGGTGGAGCAGAAAGAGGAGGTAAAAGTGAGCCGTGGGAGGGGGTTTCATCTACCCGGGCAGTGAAGAGGCAGATGTGGTTTACTCACATCTCATGACCAATAGGTGGGATGTTCTTCTCATTAGTGTTGTGCTGTGTTCAGTTAAATCAGGGGGGCGAAATGTGAGATATTTGGTAGTAATGACCCTCAATAACCTCGTCAATGTAAGATATCATCCAAAAGTGGCTTAATTGAAGGACGGATCATCACAAAACTGCAAAAATATCTCACACTGCTTATTCTGCAAAGGCACAAAAATTCTCAACAGATGTCAAATACCAAACTCTGATACAAAAGCTTGAATTATTTCATCACTTTAATTTCATGCCGTATCTAAATGTTGTGTTTTTAATGGTTAAAGCAAGTATGCTGGTTAAAGACTGGTCAATAACGTCAATATCACACTCTTGTTTCTTTTTCTTTTTCCCCAGTTGACAAAAATACAACAATTTAATCAAACTAACAAATGAGAAACAAAGTTGCTTAACAAAAGTTAACATTTTATTGAATGACTGTTCACAGAAAAAAATATTTTGCCTAGTAAAATATTGCCACAGAGAAATTTTAGATGTCTGTCAATCATTTAAAATGATCAAAAAGAAACAAAAATCCAGGGTAAATGGCATGAATAAAAAAATCAGTCGTGTATAAATCCATTATTTCATGCACCTCAAAGTCAAGTATTCGTGGTTATCTTCGCCTGTATATGTTTTGATAAAATTTTAAGAATTTAGGAATCATTCTGGTGATTTCGACCTTGCAGGGGCCGATGCTGAAACCATGCAGATTACTGAAAAATGCCACTAATCAATCAACTTTTCTACATTTTGCACTTTTCAGGAGTTCCAGTTTGGATCTTTTCTTATTTCTTTCAGGTCTTGTAAACATGACACATCTTAAAGTTAAGGCGCATGACTGGATCACACCATTTCAACCTGACCGCGTCCCTGAGATCCAAGTTCTCCACAATGTTGCCGCCCATTTGACAAGCTCTGCACTTCGCCTCTTCACTTCCGACGGTCTGTGGCGAATTGCACGCTCAAAAACAGCTGAAAACTGTGATGCAATCACCCAATGAGAGCAGTCCCATTACCTGCCCTTGTGGTAGCTCAAACTCACCATACTGTAATGATACAAATATGTCAGCTGAGAAAAACCCTTTAAATTTATAAGTGTTGAATCTGATTTTGTTTACAACAGAACTTTGTCTCAAGTGTGCAAAAAAAAAACCCCCAAAAAAACAGCAGATCTCTGTTTCAGCAGAATTTTTTGGGGATTATATGAAAATATTGTCACCTCTGTAAATGAATTTTATAGCTTTGCCTATTCGTTGGCTTTCAGATGTATGTTTTACAATATATTTTGGAGTAATGTGACCGTTATCAGTATGTGATATTCATGGAATGAAAAAATCTACCAAGTTGTGGTTTTGATTCAGCTTTATTTGAGGTTCTGTCGCTCATATGGGTAAATAAAACTTCCCATTTAGTGTAATTGGCTACTCACAGTAAGATCTAATATATGATTTAACAATTTTATTACTATATTCTTCCAAACATGAACCAAAGAAATTTATTTTCCCGGGAAAAACCTTGTTATTTGCAATTTTCACAGGGCTGCATAAAAAAGATTGATGCTGTTTATGTTTCCATGTATCGGAGTTTTTAATCTTGTAAAAATTCATTTGAATGGGGAATCTATTTGTGTGAACTCCAAATACTTCTATTTTGATTGATTCCTGTGAGGGGAATATGTTTTCTGTTTCATGGCTCTAATAAAAAGACCCACCTGGTGCCAAGTGGTCCCTTTAGATAGAGACGATCACATGTGCAAACCCAAGAACCTTTGAATAAAAGTAATCCTTATTCATCATTTAATCTATCACAAGCTGTGTTATCTCCCCCTGCAATGGACATAAATGTCAGACAAGGTTCAACACAAAGTTTTTTGTTTTTTTCTCAAAAGATCTGACTCTGCCCCGTCAGAAAAAAACACAGGTTTCATTTTAAATCAGCTGACCTTCTGAGGTCTGGGCGAACAGAAACTTTCAGAGGGTGAGCTGTAGTTGAGATGCAGGTTGTTGCCAGACTCTGGAGCTACAGTTTTACTTAAAACTATGACGCTGGCTCCCTCTAGTGGTCTTCCCATGTCATTGCATTCATGAGAGATTACTTTTTTCACAAGAGCACTTTCTTCCTGTTAACCAGTGACTTAAACCTGCATTCAGACCGTCCGTGCAATCTTTCAGTCAATAGTGCACCCCCATCACCACCACCCCTCACCTATCGAGAAGTCCTGGGTTTTGGAAGAGGAGGCAGGCCTTTGTCTTGAGCTGTGCTGGGTTTCTGTTTTGTCCTTCTGGGCAGCTGTCTTGGACTATCAGTGGGATGTGGGCCTTTACCCAGCAGGAAGTTCTCCCAGGCTGGAACAGACTCTTCCACAGAGTTCCAGTACCTTGTCTGTAACAGAGGGATGATATAAACCTTAATGCAAGACCTTAAAGTCTTCAGTTACTACACCTGGATCTATTCTGAGTAATATAGTAATAGTAATATATTCTGAGTATATAGATTAGAGCCAGACCCTTTACTGCCTTAAAAGTAATGAGTAAAATCTTAAAATCAATTCTAAAACTAACTGGAAGCCGATGTAAAGAGGCGAAAATAGGGGTAATGTGATGTTGTCTGTTAAAACCAGTCAGTCACCTACATGTGGGACAATTAGCAGCTGGCTAAATCTGGTGCAACCACCTCGTCAGTTTTCTTTTTATAACAGACCTCATCGCAAAAAAAAATAAATGAATAAAATAAAATATATAAATAAATAAACAAATACATAAAAAAAATATCAAATATTTTTAAATATACAAGTATTTTAATTTGCTGAACTGCAGTAAATGAGTGCAGGAAATTAGGAAAGAACATATCTCTCCTCTCCAAAATAAAACTCTGTACCCTTGCGTTGGAGCTGTGTCCTAGAAAAATGTTTCCAAAAGATAGCCATAGGTTTAAAAGAGATCATTGTGACAACTTTCACACATGTAAATCAAATATAAATTAATTTGTTATCCTGGGTTTGGCCTGGCATGAGAGGTAAGGTGTAAAGTCATTTTTACATATTTTGTAAGCAAACAGTCAGGATTCAGGCCAAGTTCATGGAAAAATGTTTATGGAAAATCTAGAGAACATTAAAAAGTCCTAAAATGTACTTTCTAAATTCTTTGCTATCCTCCTTTCCTTGACCTTGAGTGTAAACCTCACAGAGTTAAATAAAGGTGTATCTTGGGAGTTAGAAAAGAGAATTTCTGAATTTGTAATCTGACTCTGCTGAGTATAAACTACAGTTTGCAAATGATGGACTATAAAAAACACAGAGCGCTCTTAACTGGATGATTCATACAGACACATAAACAGTGAAAACAGTGTGATAAGTGGGACAACATTCAGGTGTTTACAGGTAATGAGACGGAGCGTCTGCTCAGGATGAGACTGTCTGAACTAAGATTTGACAAAACGTCAGTAGAGTTTCTAAGTCTATCACTTAATATGAACCTCATACGACTTTAAAACGATTTTTAATCCCTTATTTCACTGTATTTACGAGTACTTATCTCCTGTTTTGTTTTATAAATAATTCTGCGTAGAAAGCGTAGAAAAGATGATTATATCTTATTTTATATTGTATCTTTTAATATCAATATTATTTGTCTCCAGTGTTTCAGTCATATTATCAGCTCCTAAAGAATGTGAGATGCACTTGAATTCTGGCTCATTTTTCCTTCTCTTCCTTCCTGAAGGATAATCCAGTGTATCCTACGCTAAAGGAGGTAATAAAGGAAGCAATGAAGCTCCTTTCCTTATCATCTGGAGAAATCAAACAGCTCTCGTCACGGCTGGCACCCACAGACTTCAGGGTTGTTTAATTCAGTTGGGAATCTTCCTAACCACAAACTATCTGAACAGACCCTTTGTCTTAATCCTGGAAAAACACTTCTGGTTTTGTGAAAAGCATCCATCAGAATCAAATTCAACATTAAGCATTAAACTTGATACCTCCAGAGCCAGGAGATCAGGGTGTGGCAGCTGTCTTCCTCTGAGACGATCCTCTATCTTCTGTAAACCCTGCAGGAACACAGTTCACATCATGACCTTCACTGGATAGGTTCAGAGTGGTAGAGCAGCAGTGAAATGGGATTTTACTGTCAGCCAAACTGTGCAGCTTTGCAAGATGAGCAGCAGACAGGTTATCTATGTCTTTTTTATAGCTACAGCAGAGATAGTGCTTCAACTTAATAAACCCATTTGATGTCAGTGAAATGTTTATAAAGATTAAAATGGGTGTTACCTGCAGCAGAGCCATGTTCCTCTTGTGAGCAGCCTCAGCCTCCTCCACCTGCTTCTTCTTCTGGATCTTCAGCTGCTCTCTGCGACGCTTCATCTCCTCGAGCAGCTCTGATCTCCTCTCCAGACTGATGTTAAAGACCACAGAGAAGAGATACTGTCACCAGATAGGAGTTAGGGGTTCATTTCGGACGCAGCCATGATTAGTCCTCTAAGCTAAAATGATGGACTTGTACGCAAGTTTTTTGACTTTGTAGCTCATAGATACCACAATTGTTGTATAAAACAAATTTAAAATGATGTTTTTGGTCTGAACACAATTCTAATCAAACTTATCACTTTCAAGAGTGAAAAATGTTTTTTTTGTAATTAAATCTCTAACCCCTTCACCCATGTGCTTCTAATCTTCACAGACTCCATGAATTGATGCCCATCTCCTAAATATTTTGTGACATTGTCAATTTCTTTGACCATTTCCAAGCAACAGGGGGTGGCTCAACTTACCCCACTCTCCCCTACATTTCACACTGTTTTGACCAGACGTAGGCGTTGAGGTTTTCAATAATCAGGACCTAGTTTCGAGTGGTATAGAACGAAAAACTGTGAAATTTCCCTTTTTGTGCATTTCCACAAAACAACAAAAGTTTTAAAAACTCTAAAAGTGTAGTAGCAGCCCAGTAGTAGCTTCTCTAGCCCCTTTCAAGAGTCTAATTTCAGGGTTGTACAAAATCTGTTATCAAGGTCTTAACTACGACATGACAAGTTAGATAAAAACTGCAGATTACTGATCTGGAAAGGAACAGAATAAAACCGGTACATGGGAATCAAAGTCTTACTAAACTGTGTCGAGAGTAAAAGCGTCCGTAAAGGAGAAAGATAACCAAGGTAGCAGCGCGCCTTACGGCAAATGTAACGGCTCCACCGACGCTGAGACCGATTAGATTTGATCAGAATTGTTTCCTCTTCATATTAAGCAAAACTTACTTACATTTCTTCGTACTTCTCAATAAATTCAAGTTCTTGGAGCGAACAAGCCGACATTACTAGCAACACAATCAGGCACTTCCTGAAACGACTCGTACTTACTATCAAGGTACTCACAGTTTGAACACAACCGGAAACGCAGCTACCAAAATAAAAGCACAAGTAGTTTTGAAACTGAAAATGTCTTAGGCCTGCTATAGAGGACTACATGTCATATTGTTTTTGCTAGATTAAATATACCTATAAACTCTATTTTTTCCCACAAAGCATGGTTTTATGTGGTTTTTCCACATCTGAACCGCGCTTGTTTTTTTTTTTACTTTGAAAAGTTTGTCGGAAATCCTCATGTTTCTTTTCACAGCTTACCTTGTGAAGCGTTCGGTTACCATGGCGATCAAACACGTGTCAATCTTCTTAAAGGGAGCGTATCAGTTGCTCTCGTTGAAATAAAAAAAGAAATTCATGATAATAATAATAATAATAATAATAATAATAATAATAATAATAATTATTATTATTATTATTATCATTATTATTATTATTATTATTATTATTAATAGGAAAGGGAAGTTCTTCCTCTCCACTGTAACTTAAGTAATGCTTAAGTATTGCACTCATGTGGTTGAAGATTGAATGGGAGTGGGTCTGATCTTACAGGATGGGGCTCAATTTACCCCATCTGTAAACTGGGTCTTACTAAAACAGAGTCTGGGCTAGACCAGTTAAGTGTCTTAAGACAACATTTGTTGTGAATTGGCGCTCTGTAAATTAAGACTGATGATAGATGGGGTGCTATGGAAAGCATCCATTAGTATTACACTTTAGACAGATTGGATTCAATTGTCCTGCCCTTGGACACTTCAACATGTGGACAGCGGGACCTGGGACTACAGTTGCACCCCAAATTTGAGAAACAATCAACTCTACCACCACTTAACCACAGCAACACACAAACTGGATGAATGACCCCAATTTATGACTGCAGAAGTCATATTCTTAAATTACTTCACTCTATGTGTATTTTAACTGCATTTAACTGCATCCATTGCTTTTGAGTTGTATTTTTTGTATTATATATATATATATATATATATATATATATATATATATATATATATATATTTTAACCCCAATATAAAGTAGATTATGCTTTAACATTTTGCTTTACAAAAATCACTTTGAACATATTATCTTGTCATTACCTTTTCATACTATACATGCCTAATTTCTGAGAAAATACCAAGCTCTACAATAAAAGAGTATTTTTGCTTTAAAATTATTGTCTTTTAAATGCAAAAATCAAAACCTGTAGTAAAAACTCATCTACACAAAAACCATGAATATAATCACGCAAATCATTTCAGAAAATTACATCAAAACCCATATTTTATTTTATGTATAGCAATACCATTTACATATTAAATAACACTATAATAGAATGCTTTGATATAGCTTTCAACGAAACAACAAAAAAGAAAGAAAGGAAAGAGAAATCCATCTTTTTCTCTTACTTCATGTTACAAAAGTTGAACAAAGGGCCACTTTTCCCAAACGGGTCAGTGGAGAGGAAATTATCTCAAGAATTACAAGAGAGCTATTCCATTGTTCAGGTTTGACAGCAGAATCATTGCCTCCAGAGGACAGAAAGAAAAAATCAAAAGAAGAAGAAGAGGGGATACCATTGTAATATCACAATCACTGCCTGAACGTTAATGAAGGGCGTGAAGCTGGAAACTGGGATGTGATGATGACCACAAACTGGACTTGCACACTCACACACACACCTGGTTTCCACACAGTTCACCACAAACAGTGACACTGTAAGCGAGCTGAAGTGAAAGAGAACAGATAAGGGACCTTGTAAGTGATTTGTGGTACATGGAAAGTCAAAAATTGTGAAAACAATTAAGTTTAAATTACAAATTCATCCTGATGTTACATTTCCTTTGACAAAATCCATACACACACAGTTCCCAGAGAAAGCTGGGTTACAGAGGCAACAAACCTTATATACATATCATATTGACACACTGTCACATATTCCCTTCAAAGGCAACACATTATGCTTCTGTATCCAAATCATCAAAATGACCAGAATTGTTCTAACATGGAGATTAAGAGTAAAAAAATGACAATTTCAAGAGCTTAAATACACCAGCATTTTTAACATCATAATTTTATAAATCTTTTACCAATTACTAAGTACGTTCCTCTTTGAGGACTGCACTCAGTCTGCTCTGGTTCTGTGTCCACTTACCAGGATTTTTATTGCACTGTTAAAACAAATGTCATGTTAATAAGGGCCTGTGTCCACTGACAGCATTTTTGTGCATTTGCTAAAAAACTCTATTTGGTTCCACTTTTAAGCCCAAAGACCTGAGTCTTGACACTGCTCACAGCACTCTCAAGTGATATTCACTAAAACTTTATTTAGTAACCCTTACGTTTACTTTTACTTGTTTCAGATTCACCCTTCCTTTATTTAGGGAAGTTTTTTCAGCCCTCTCCCGAACATTTGACAGAATATAATGCTTGGTGCTTCACTTGCACGCTATGGATTCACTTGCACATACATTCCAGTTGACTATATACCATTCTTTTTCCACCACTCTTTCTATTTATCTGGTGCTTGACTTCAAAGACAACAAGATAATAAGCTAAATGTTTACAGGTGTGTGATTGAAACCTGCTTTTATTTTCAAACCATGCAGCCACACCCTCCTAATATAAGGGAACCTGCCTGTAATTGAGGGAGGCTTTTATTTGAAGCTTTACGATAGCTCAGCTTTTGGACCATTACCATGCTTATCAATATCACTTCTTAGTAACCAATCAAAATCAAGAAGAGGTGGGACTTTAATTGTCAATTTTGTCAACAGCAATGGCGGCGGAGGCACTAACCAAACTAAACTAACCAAATTAAACTATATAGGTCCAAAGCTGTTAATACCAATACCAGAAGTGCTGTGACATGACTTTCATAACCTAGCAAAAATTAGCACCATTAAGGAGCGTTCTGAAACTGAGGTTGAGAGCACTGAAAATGTTGCTAGTGGACACACGCCCTTGCAGATGCATCATGTTTCAAATTAAGTCGTCTGACATATTAGTTGACCCCGCTTTTCAAGCGAACGAACTGAAAAGTGTGTGAGACTTTCGTAATTTACATGTGTCATTGAACTGTTCTGTTTAGGTTGGGTAGCCTTCCAGCTAACATATTAAGATAACAAGACACTTGGACTGGTTGATGCTATTTTGTTGTAGCTAAATGGCAAAGATCACATTTGTTGGAAATTTGAAAAAAAATAAAAAAAAAAGTTTTGGAAAAAATTACTTTGATTAGCAAACACGTCACTTATTTTCAAAAAGGCAACATGACACTGCAAGAAAAAAAAAAAAAAAAAAAAAAAAACAGAAACAGGAGAGTTTGTATCTTAACTTCTCTTCTTTCTGCCAACCTTACTTTACCCATAATCTAAAACTAAACCATGGATCATGATGACAACTGCTGATACGCACTGCAAGCCAAAGTTTCAGCAAAGAGATACCAGAGTGTGACTGTTAGCAAACTTTGTAAGGACACTGACGCAGAGATAAAGTGAGGAATTCAAAGAGGTCATCTGGGCAGAAAGCTTGCCCAGCTTTTCTTTCTACATAGGAGGAGAAGTCTTTGGTAAAGGTTTGTAAAAAATCAGGATACATTTGTCTCTCTCTCGCACTCGACACCTTACTTGTTTTGTGCTATGTGGAAAAAAATTACTGTTTCATTCAAAATGCAACAAGTGTTCATTTCACGCTATTAAATCACAGAGGTATGATTATTTTTCAAACCAGTGGCTCAGTAAGAACATCCTCACGTCAGGGTTATGTGTGTGTAAATGGGTGAGGGGTTACTATAGTAAAAGCAGGGGGCATTTGAGGCTATGCTTTTTGTTTGTAATCAAAGAATACATCTCTGGAGAGAAAGAGAGGGACAAACTATGTACACAAGGCCTTTAGAGGTTGAACCAAGTGGCCACACCTTTGTTAATGAGCATGGATCTCGAATGGGCCTCCACCTGTTTGCAGTTTTTACTTGCTGATCATTAGAATTTGCAGTAGACGCAAACTTCATTTGCAGTGTATGACTTGTTGTTTTTTATGCTATGGCTATTATGGCAGTTGACAGAAATCTGGTCAAAGCCCTGTTATTAAATGACTTAGTGAATGATTTTATCAAGAAACTATTTGGGGAAAAAAAAGTGACTGTAAGTTTGTGAGTAGTTGATGGAAAAAGCTGCGCATGTCCAGATCAGACTGCTGTAAAAACAGATTATAGGCTGCTCTGATGAATAAGAAGCAGTCTATTTTGGGGAGATGTCCATAGAAAAGAAAAAACTGTCTTCCTGCCATAGAACCTCCATTCTGTACAGCAACATCCAGTTTCTGTGCAGCAGTGTAGCTCTTTCTAACACCATCTGTTTTGCAGTCATGCTGAGCACCAGTACAGTAGTTAAGCCCTGCCTATCGCATGGTAATAGCTGTTCAGTACAGACCCACTACCTGGGACTTATTTGCCTAGACTCCCACCACCCATCTCCACAGGGCTCTTATTGTCTCAAACTGAGGAGACTTATCAACTACTGAAGCACTCAAGGTTTATTTAGTGATTCCTACACCGCCATGTTTTTAAAGCATGATTATGAGTCATGGAAGAAAAGCTATGAAGAAGTGATGTCATTGTATATCTCAGTATATCTTACAGCACATGTTTTGGGTGAATTTTCAGTCTCGTCAGTACACATCCATTGGGTGAAGGTGACGACAGCGTTTTAGTAACAAAGTTCACGCTAGATTAAAAGCGCCCTCTTCTGAGTAAAGTCTTTCTCCGCACTTTATGCTGGTCCACTGATTACACTGCTATTTAGTTTCTATGTATAGAGACATCCAAAATACGTCTTATTCACCACATTTTGTATCTATTATTATACACTATGTTTGCACTGTCTGAACTTAGCTTATGTAGAGTGATCATATTTTGAATCCCCAAAAAGAGGGAACAATTACGCAGGGGCGGAGTCACAGAGTCGCACAAAGTTAATTATAAGATTTTTTCGGGTTGGATCAAGTGTCTTTTATGCGCTTCTAACTCAGTAAGTCCATGTGACACAAACTCTAAACTTCCATACAAAACCCTGAACATTTGAAGGATTTTATAGACTTCCCTAGACAAGGCCGGACAGCCCAGACAGCCCCCCCCAAAGGAGGACATGTCCGAGTAACAGAGGATGTATGGTCACCCTAGCTTATGTAAGCATCGTACGCAAAGTTCATACAGCTTCTGAGGGACGATGTCCAACTTTTCTAATTTAATGCAAAGAAAAACTGTGCTAAGATGCCAAAATTAATA